CTGATGATTGGGGCTTAGGCATTTTTGTACCTATCCTTAAGAAGGTAGATAAGAGAAGATGTGAGAACTACCACGGCATAAACCTCATCGACGTTGCTGTAAAGATCTTCGCTATTGTCCTACTCAGGCGATTCCATGCTGTGCGCGACTCTATGACGAGGCCCCCCCTCTGACGGAGAAGTCGTCGAGGCCATACGAAAGGTACGCAACAACAAGGCACCCGGAGAGGACGGTATACCCGCTGAAATCTACAAGTCTTGTGTCCACACTCTGACACCCTGGATCCATGAGGTGATTGAACGAGCGTGGAGAGACGAGGTTGTCCCTAATGACTGGGGCTTAGACATCCTTGTACCCATCCTCAGGAAGGTAGATAAAACAAGATGCGAGAACTACGGCGCCATAAGCGCCATCGACGTTGCTGCGAAGATCTTCGCTATTGTCCTACTCAGGCGATTCCATGCTGTGCGCGACTCTATGACGATGCCCAACCAAGCCCGGTTTCGTGCTGGACGTGGATGCGTGGACCAGATATTCACACTGAAGCGCATGCCCGAATTTCGCCATAGCTACCAACAACCGACGGCCGTCTGCTTCATTGACTTTGCCGCCACGTTCGATTCTGTCCATCGTGAGTCCCTGTGGCGGATAATGGCGCTGGATGGCATACCGACAAAATTCATCACCATGATCAAGGCCTATTATCGCGCCACTGCTATGAGAGTCCTGGTCCGAAGCAATTCTTCCCAACCGTTTGGTATTCGGTCTGGCGTTCGACAAAGTTGTGTCCTGTCGCCCATTCTGTTCAACTACGCTGTTGACTGGATTCTCGGGAGTGTCCTACACGAAGGTGATGGTGTTGAGTTTGCACGCGGACACCGACTGACTGATCTCGACTATGCCGATGATATCGCCGTACTTGTTTCAAGTTTTAGTGATCTGCAGTCTATGGTGTCACGGGTGAACTAGGCCGCTACATCGGTCGGTTTATCCATAAACACTGAGATCACTAAGATGTTCTCAATCTGCATCCCTGACCAGGAGAAGGCACCCCTCGGAATTGATGGCTATCAATTTGAAGTAGACATTTTTATGTACCTCGAGGCGAGTCAGGACGACATTGTCTACCGAATTGATGCTGCCCGATGGGTTTTCTCGAGCCTCAGAAAATGCCTGTGGATCCGACACGACCTCTCCATTGCCACCAAGATTTGCGTGTACCGTGCGTCTGTCCGGTCAGTCCTTCTCTATGGTTGTGAATGCTGGGCTTTGTGCATGGAGGACGAGCGAAAACTGGAGGTATTTGATCACCACCGTTTGAGGACCATCCTTCGAGTGAAGTACACCGACTTCGTCTCAAATTAGACAGCCCGCGCTCGCTGCGACGTCGCAAGGATAACCCAGGCCATCCAAGAACGACGACTGAGGTGGTTTGGACATGTTCTTCGACGCCTACCTCGGGAGCTCGGTGTTACTGCCCTCGATCCGGCACCGTTGCTTCATTGGAGGTGTCGAAGAGGGGGTCAACTCATAACATGGCTCGACACAGTTCGTCAAGATGTGGAGGTGGTTTATGGACCTTCGGTATTTGGTGTCCGTAGTCGGCGAAGAGAATGGGTTGAATTGTCCAGATCTGATGCCGCGGAACTTCACGTGTAGAGAGGTACAGTTCGTGACATCATCGAGGCCGCCTGGATCAGGCATGATCGTAGTCGCACCAAGTGAGTACAAGTGGCCTTTATGGCATCCGTATTCCTATGGGACATAGCCCACCGCGCGCGGACCAGATGTGGGTGGGACGCGCCCGATCCCGCCTTCGGTCTTCTTCACTCTGTCCTGACACCGGTCACATGAGAGCCCTACGTAGATGTGGCAGATGCATTTGAAGCCCGCTATCGCCGTAAAATGTTTTGCGCACAAGTCACCGTCTCTGGAGCAGACGGTGGACATAATCATCCACGACGGTCGGACCGTCCAGTTGCTGATTCCACCGCAGTACCTTACGGATCTGTCTAAGCACCCGAGATCACTGGTGGAGTAGCCGACGACTGGCAGCCACTAACAAACCCGTACCATTTCACCCCACCAGGTCATGTGCTTCTAGAATTCGCCACCTACTCCAAGTCAGTGTTTGCCTTTGAAAGTCCTCTGTCCTCAGGCCTTCAGAGTTTGACCAGCTAATTAAACATTCCGTCATGTAGTACACTTCAACCAGTGTTGCCGTTGTTTTCAGCCGCCCTCGGAGTTTGCCCGGCAACATTTCGGTTGTCTGAAAGACTTAGTTCAACTGTACGATGGACACAGATATCATGCCGCCCTCCACTAGCCCATGGGTTCCCTTTCTGCGCACGATCAGCAAGAATCCTCTCATAGAGAGTGGCCTTCAACCGTGAGCCCTACGAACGCCTTTCCCTTGGACAACAGACGTAGACTGCCTCCGAGGTTCGTGTATGTGATCTGCCACAATAAACCTTTTAAATTAAACTCCGGTTGTCCGACTTCTTGGTTTGGGAAACTTGCATCGCATACGACAAGTCCGCTAGGAAAAGAGAGGCCACAACCACTTACAAAATTAGGGGCGATTGCTTCGATAGAAGTCTTGAAAAACAGTACCTGTCAAGTACTCCAGAAAAGATTTATTTGGCTTATCTTTCCCCCAGTGTTTTCAAGTAATGCTGTATATCCGTTACAGTTCGTAAACGCCGCAACTCATCTGATGAATAATTCTGCTTAGATCTCAATTTCCTGCAGTCCTCCGCATAAGACAGTAAATAAATGGTTCACACTGTTTCATGTCTTCTGTTGTACACTAACCCTCGATCCCCACACTGTCTGCTAAGCAAAATTCAGATGCATTAAACTGTGCGATTTGCGGGTCGTTAAGGCTCCGGCGCGCGGTGGCCAGAACTGACATCAGACGAACAAAGAAAGCAGTCACCAGGTTTGTCTGTGTACAGACTTGGAGTCCTCAAGCGGGACGAGGAACACAGAATTGCCCTCAGCTTAATTACGACCTACGCCCTGAAAGGCAGCGGTCTGCAGTCCCCGGTTGGAATTATTGATGGACAATGACGCCGAGGGTCGGTTTTCCATCAAATAACTACCAAATTTATAAACACTATTCCAACACGAATTCCTGTGTGTGCGTGCCTTTATGCATTATTTAGGGATCCCTGAAAGAGACTTCTTTAAGAGGAAACAAATAGAAACTGGGGAGAAATGATTCTGCTAAAAATTTGAGTGTCTGCAATTGGTTTACTGCAATATGCCAATAACAGAGCGGAAGAATGGAAACTGTCGTTCTGACTTGTGACCTTGGAAGTGAGGGAAATAAGTCCCCCCTCAGCCCGACATATATTTTGGTGGTCGCTTCTCATGAAGTGGTCTTTTGCGACACTGAGGCTACCAAGTTATAAGCTGTCAATCATGAAACTAAAAAAATTCGCCGCCGACTAAAGCCGCACCTGCGTCAGATACACTCTGGCCCAGTGGCGCCGATAAGTAGAGTTGAATATAAAGGTTGTTAACAGAAGGCCCATAAACTACTCCAAAAGTACCGCACTCTGACTTTTCGTGGGAATAATTGGAATTCCATTTGCCAAGGAATCAGAAACAAGCAAGTGGGCGGTACTTTAAAAACAACTGTACAAAGCGAGACGTCTGTGACACCTGACTACTCAAGTCTCCATTTTTCGGGGATGTGGACTTCAGCGGGTTCATTCGCTTCGGCAAGCTTCTCGGAAACATCTTTGCCCAGATTCTCGGCAAATATTTGGCCTTGTTCGACTTGCCAAGCAGCCATATCCTTGGGTTTCACCATTCGGTGGTAGAATTCGTCCCAAACATAGCCTTGCCTTATCTTGGAGAGAACCTAAGAAACACGGAAATGAATCATGAAGGGCTGAGACAAAGCAAGGAGAAACGTTGGATCGCATGAAGGAGACAAATAACTTGAAGCCAATAGTCAACCTCGGTCTTTAGCATCGATGCGCACACACGGCATTCTTATCACTACGTCCCCACCCTCTTACTCTGAAGCGAACCTAACCAAGCAGATGTCCTCTCTGCCTAGGACTTCATAGCAGACTGTTTGATTGTAATTCATCGAGCGCGGTGCATAGCCGTGGGGATCCCAACGCTCAATAGCATCGATCAGTCTTGAGGTTATTCGGTATCGGCGATCCTAGCCTCCATCGCCCCCTCCCCTACGGGCAAAACTCGAAAGACTGTAATGCAAGCTCAATTCGATAATGAATAATATGTTTTACAAGATGTCTTAATCACGGGGTGATAAGAATAATCTCCTTCCGTTTACCCTGCGCTGTAAAGGTCGGGAAGGCTTGACATTTAGACCCGAGTGCATAACCTCGATATATAACGGATCCCCGAGCAAAGTATCGATAGTTAACCTAATTGGTCCCCTGACACCCTCCGAAAATCGATTTACGTAGGTTATGGCAGATGCACGTCAAGCTGGGCTTAACGACACGTACGCGAACCTGAACAAGCAATCAGTCTGGTTTAAGCGAACTTTCCGAAGGCGTAAATTCGAGTTTTATCCCGCTGATCAATTAATTCCGCCAGTAATCATCAGCGCTAACGGTTGCTCAGGCATTACAGGAGTGATTTTTGCGTAAACATGGGCCAGCCTGGATCTAGCACTGTGTTGATCAAAGGATGGATCGATATCAGGAGGCTTGTCCGGTGAAAAGGAGGTGAAGTACTTAGGGCGACGATGGCAAACCGATCCAACAAGTCAAAGTAATTGATTCGGAGTGTTACTGGCTGATTATGAGGAGCTCTATAACAATCTGATAATTGAAAGCACTTAACCACCAAGAAGATGCTTTGGTCCACTAGTATAGGGTTAAAAAGATATAAGGAGTTAGGAAAAATTGCCAGGGAGATCGCACGTATGACCGTTGATAGCAAAGCAGGCCCAAAAGCTGAGTTGAATTTGGGATATCAAAACGAAACATGTTTGACGGAGGGAGTACCTAGAAACAGTCTGCATGCCTTGTCGGAGGTTCGAAGAAATTGACAGTCGGCCGGGACATCATCAAATATGCCTAAGAGATGGACTTCTCAGGAACATTACCTGCTGATCTGGGACTTCTTACAGTCCCCTGCAAGCTTATTCACTACAATCACGTTTTCAGGTCATTTTGGAGAGGACTCGAGACTATGTTAAGTAGATGACGTTAAACATCAAATTAAATCCTGAAATATGACTTCGGTTACAAATAATTACTTAGAGTGAGTTGTAATACTTATCAACATGCAGTGTAATCCAAAGATATTTCAGTCACGCCAGGATGTCGGCTTACGAATACGCGTTTTGCCGGTCGTCCGTAGAAATCCAAAACGCTAAAAATGACTACTTGCGTAGTAGTATTCTTCCTGCAATTTTCAATGCCTTGTAAATATAAACATATTTTATAGAAGGCATGTACAAAAATATGCCTTACTACACTGATTTAGTAGGAAATGAAGCCTTCTTGGAGTTTCGTATTCGATGAAAGGATATCGGTCGAATTTTTTGAACCAAAACTGCCGTTTTATTTGTGCGTGGGGTCTCCAAACCGCACGATGTATAATTTGCGTAAAGGAGAGTTCGAACATTCTATGCTATTAAGATGCCACCATATAGGACTCATAAATTTTCACAATGGATATGGGTCCATGAGATTTGATGGACTGGCAGATATGATGGATGATATGATGAAATCAAAAATATCATAATTGCAAACTTATTTGGTGCCGACAGATAACTACTCTAAGCAGAAAATTGGAGACGCCATTTACTACAAGATGCGCATAATAAAGGGTATTTTTGTACGTGCTTCCTATAAAATAAGTTTACATTTATAAGGGCATCGCAGTCGATGGGAAAATCCTAACACATGTAGCCACCTTCGCCACCGTGATTCCCGCAGACGGCCGGAAAGACGCGTATTTAAAAAACCGGCATCCTGGTGTGACTGGAATATTTTTAGAACATACTGCATGATTATCAGCATTACAGTACCACCTAAGTAATCCTTACCAACCGAGATTTCATCTTGGAATTCGCGAGATACGCCACTTGCTGTACATCATCACCTGATCGGTTACCCACAGTGACTTCACAAAAGACTTCTTCCAGCATCGTCTCGGTCACGGTCAGAAGTATAAGCAGGAAATTCCGACCAGGCGCATCATTCAGCTTCGCTTTTTGCTCGACTGAATGGTCCCACAATGGTCCCTTTCCGCAGTCCAGTAAGGGCCAGGTTGGCTAGTTACTTTTTTATCTAATTATCCTGAGAGAAATCACCAAAAGGCATGATATAATGCGCGAGATTCTTGTACCTAATGCTTTTGCCTGCATCAGTTTTTTTAGAATTGGCACAGTACGACGTATTGCAAGAACAAAACGCATGACCACCGTTGCCTGGGGTGTAATCGAGTGAAGGGAACGGCAAGGGAATCATAAGCATAATTAAGAATGGGTTTACCTGATATCTGCGTTTCCTCGCCTCACTCTTGCGTGAAGGTCTAAGGGAAAAAGGATATTTTTGCATGCCCCAATCTGGAGTGGTGCGCAGTTCATCAATAAGCCTGGGGTAGAGCGAAAGCTTTTCTTCTTCTGTAAGGCTGTCGTAGTCGATACCGTACTCTTGAGGGTGCTCGAAAGACTTCTCTTCTAAGGCAACCCCACCGCTGATCAGGGCATCGTAAAACGCCTTGTTCCGCAAACTAGTAAGAGGATTTTCAACAACGTCGAAGAGGAGCGAGGTAATTCCCGAACACTGGCATCTGTAGGCCAAAATGCGGCCAATGTTTTCGGCTGCCGAAGTGTCAGTGTTACTAGGGGCTTAGGAAAATTTTCAACTTTCCAAACCTGTATAGATGCTTGCTGATGGACGGCTCCTCAGTTGAGGCCGACAGCACAACCCTCGACGTACAGTGCACCACCTGTGCGGCCGTATGATGAGCGGTACGATTAAGGACGCACCTAAAAATGATTAAACCAAATCGATATAAACTTGTGCCAGTAGTCCTTCCGGGGTGCTTGAAATTCCCAGCCAAGTGTTTTTGACGCAACGCCCATTAACTCGAAGTTTCTAAAATCGAAACGGTCTTCGTGTACAAAAGAAAACAAACCGAGGATTTCTGTTGGAATACGTGTGGTTTAAAAGATTTGGGACCCTACAAACGGCACATGACCGGAAAAGCCTCCCCAACGACGGAAAATTAGGGAGTCCCACCATCTGAACGGGTAGCCAGTTATTCCATTTATCCACTTACTTTTCAGTCCACTAAAATCAGACATTAATATTGTACCACCTGAGCTCGCCCGAGGTCCCGAGGTCGTCGTCCCATCCATACCTTCGTAAGGCTCTTCATGTATCATAATCTTTCCGCTGGCCTTCTCCCATGCGAACATAACTCACATCATTCTTCTCAGTATTCACGATAGGATATACTTATCCAAGCATGCGAATATAGGAGGTCGTCAGGACATGATGTATTTAGTATTAAAACTGGATAATTAATATCTAACACGTGGAGGAAGAAGGGTAGGACTTTAGGAATAACGTTGCCTTTACGATTTTTCAATGGTGATTCATTTGTGAGCTGCCACCGGGTAAGGGAAATCGGATTATTTGCGCAACTGGGCTGAAAAAAGGAAGGGGGGGGGGGGAATAGACCACTTACAGTAATTTAACTAGCATCCTCAACCTACTTTATCGGAAGGGTTGTCTTCCCCAAATCTGTCCCATAACTCTTCCCCTTTGGATGGCGCTCTGCCCGCAGAGCCTGTAGGCGCTTTGGTGGGGGCTTTTGCTTGTCAGAGCGCGCCGTGAAGGTGGGACCCAAATGTGTGTGAGCCTCACGGATGATGTATTTAGCAGGTGGGATGACATACCTCATGACGAAAAGTCCTTTCTCAGTGGGGAAGAATTTAGTCTGCGTGTCCACTGGTGGAACAGCTCAAAAACAGCACAAAATCGCCACGTCGATAGTAACTTCCGCGTGTGTTTGTCGAAGCACGTCTTTTGTATGTTGTAGGTAGTACGTAAGTGTGGACGGACTAGGTTATGTGCAAGTTGCAATAATTCTTCAAGATTTATCACGTACTTGTCTGCGGCTTACGTAGTTGTTCGTTGTGTGGGAAAATGGGAGTCTTGGGGTAGGCTGAAGTGTTTGCCGGTCAGCATAAATACTACGGCATAGGTAGTTGAGAAATGGGTGGCGGCCTTGTAGGCCACATCGCGAACGGCAGTCAAACGTTCTAATAGTGTGGGTGGTGGTCTCTGGTAAACACCTTCAGAAGGTTAGTTATGGTTTCATTGTATTCCTCGACCTGTCCTTCGCTTTGTGGGTGTTTTGGAGTTGCCCAAGTCATGTGGATGAGAAGGCAGTCACAGACCTTGCGTAAGAGTTTGCCCTTTAAGTTGATTTCGGAGTCAGAATCTATAGAAGCAGGAACTCCGTACCGACAGATCCATTGATTTAACAACGCGACGGTGACCGAAACGCAGCCTTGCGTCGTAAGGGAACGACCCCTTCCCACCTCGTAAAGTAATCCATCGATACTAAAATGTATCGGTAACGGTGCAATGTGTGCGGTAGTATTTCTGCCATGTCAACGCCCACACACTCTAAGGGGCACCCCGTGACCATGGGCATTAAGTGAGCTCTATGTCGGGCAGGAGCTCCTTTGCCGAGGTTCAAGTAAGACACGCGTTGCAGAATGTGGCTACTTTCTTTCGTAAGTGGGGCAGTCAAAACGGTACCTTACCTCTGCTCCCGTTTCTGTTAGTCCTACATGTCCAAGTTCGTGGTTTAGGTTCATGTGCACAGTAATAACCAGGCTGATCAGAACGACTAATCGTGGGTCGCCCGCTACAGGATCTTTGAGGAATGGCGGTTAGCTCACAACTGATTAGTTAGCCTACAGGTTACGTAAGAGACGGCCTATCTCCGAGGCGTTTGTTAATCTTTGTTGTCTCTGTAGATGGTGGTCGTATACTATTGTCCTATCAGTGTCGATACTTTGCGCGATCACCCAATGATAACGGATACGTTCGCTGATCGTGATAGCGCCTGTGTGGCTATCTTCCTCGTCAATCTCAATCGGGCTTGGGCTGGGCGATCAGCGGGAAAGGGCGCTGGCGTTGAAGCACTCGTGGCGTGGTTAGTATTGGCATGGGAGGTCGAATCCTTACATTAATTCCTGCTATTTCGTTAGTCGACCTGTTTCTTACGTGTTGTGTAGCCGTTCGAGAGCTTTATGATCCGTGCGAATAACGACATACCTGTCCATTATAAATGGTTTAAGCGCCGAATAGGGAACGGGGAGGCCATTCGGTGAGCCAAATTGTCCAGGAGTCCGCATGGATGACGAAACTCGATGAGCGTAGGAGCTGATAATTTTGACCGGCACGCAGGAGCATAACAACCGCGTGGCAACTGCACACATCAACACCTAGCCAATCGAGCCGTGATGCGCTCGCGAGCTGCCAACTGTGATAGGCACGTAGCGGCCCGACAATTACTTTCTATAAACACTGTAACACCTGGGCAATCCACTACTACTCTTATCTGACTTTATCTCTAATAATGCAGTCGAGTGAGAATTCGAAACGTCAGACTAATAAGGCTCTTGTTCCATCGATCACGTATCCGTCCTCGGTACTACTTCCTGAAACCCTACTTTTCACTTTTACTAGTGACCTGTTTCATCGGATTGGGTAAGGGCTCCCTCAATCGCGAACAAACTTACATCACTATCCAGCATGAAGGGCGAGGCGACATGCCTCGTGTTCGGTAGCATCGATATGGGTGAAGTAATGAGTTTGATTTTGAGCTCATCAAAGGCGAGCTGGAATTTGTCGGACGATGTAATCTGGCGCCTTTGTCATTCGTGATATCTCCGCGAAATGGAGGATAAAATGGTGGTAGTAGGAGGCCGGTCAGAGGAAAACTCTAACTTTCGTGGGCGTCTTGGGTATAGGCGAAGATATGATGGCGTCCACTTCTTCTGACAATATGTGGATGACCTGGGGGTCGACTTCACGACCAAGGAAGGTTATCTTGCGATGCAGAAACTTGCATTTTGGTCGGATGGCGCGCAGGTCGACCTCATGCAAGCTGAAAGGACGGCATCGAGGTTCTTGGTGCGTACCTTAATATTGCATCCAAACACTACGCATCATCTAGATAGATAATACAACTGTGTGGGTGAAGATGGGTCAGCGTGAACTGTATTAGCATCTGGGACGTTGCGATTGCGTTATGCATCCCGAACGGCATCTTTTCGAGTTCCAAAGTCCTTAGGATAGGATAAACGCGGTTTTCGGGCTCTACTTGGGCTCGATCTCTACGTAATAATAACCGGACCTTAAGATTAACGCTGAAAACTACTAGGTCTTGTTTAGGCATTGAATGAGACGTCGAGCTGAGGTAGAGGATAGGGGTTACGCGCGGTGACCGCAACGAGTTGTCGATAATCCATGCAGAAACGTAGCTGACCGTCTTTCTTAGAGATTAATGTGACTGGGGACACCAAGGCTGATTTGGGAGTCCGGGTTATCCCACTGATCCGCAAAGGTTACTTACCTCCCTCTAGAGGTGTGGTGGGATGCGGCATGGAGGCCGCCATAAAGGTTTTGACTTGCCTTTATCGATGCTCAGCCGTATGACTGCACTGCGGTGCAAGGAATTCTCGTCTCAGGCGAATATATTTTGGAATCTAACTAACAGGGATTTCAACTATTGCTTGTCCGTAACAGCAATAATGGTATCTGTGAGCAGAACGGTGCCCATGCTGGTAGGTGGCAAGGCGACCAATGCCGAAATGGCAGCGCATGTGGAGTCTTCATCAAAATTGGCAGGTGTTGTATGATTCATCAGTTTCTTGCGTTCGAGTGACAGTCTGCGACCACGCACCATGATACAGCAGTTGTGTGTGGACCATTGCTCTTCATCCTTTACGTTAACGACAGCCTTCAGGAACTCGACTGCGGCAAAATAATGTTTGCAGATGACGTTAAGCTCTGGCAAGTCATTAAGGGTCCGAATGATCAGAGAGCCCTTCAAGATAATCTGCACCGACTGCAAGCGTGGTCGAAGAAATGACTTCTAGATTTCAATGTGCAGAAGTGTGCCGTCCTTCATCTGCGTCCAACCAACTCTCATTCAATTGAGAGTCTGAGGACTTATCACCTGAAAGATATAAGGCTCCCTGCAGAATCTTCACAGAAGGATCTCGGGGTTTGGATACAGGACAACCTGAAACCAACACTGCAGTGCCACAAGGCTGCAAAAAACGCCATGGGAGTGCTGCATGCAATAAAAAGGGGTTTCGTAAATTTTGACCAAGACCTTTTTGGGAGAGTTTACGGCACATTTGTTCGGCCCCACTTAGAATATGGCATACAGGCATGGCGGCCATGGCTGGTAAAGGACCAAGAATGCCTCGAACGGGTACAACGGCGTGCAAAAAAGCTGGTAAACGGTCTAAAAAGCCATTCCTACACAGAAAGACTGAATTGCCTTAATTTATTCCCTCTGTGCTACAAGCAGCAAAGAGGTGATCTTATCCTCGTCTACGAGATAATACATGGCCTTGAGTATGGACTTAAATTTGAGGACATGTTTCAGTGGCACCTTTCGCCCAATCCTCGTGGTCACTCGATGAAGTTACGGGTAACAATGTCCAGGCTGAATCTTCGTTCTGAATTTTTCACGCAGAGGGTAGTGGAGAAATGGAACGATCTCCCTCAGTCAGTCTTGGAGGCTACATCCCTGCAACTCTTCAAGAAACGCTTGGATGATTATTTGTGTCCCCTGTTTTCCCTCCACTGTCTGAATCTGAACTAATACCCCTGGTCCCCACAAATATTTTCTTTGATGCAATGCTACTCAAATGAACCAAGTACTGTTTTAATAGTGAATATTTTTGTTCGTGTACAGTTATTTCTAACGAGCTTACATGTAATCAATAGGGTTTTCAAAGGCTTTGCCTATTATCCTTACCAAATAAACTGAAATAAACTGAAGATAAACAGAAGTCGTATTCGAACATCATATTGCACACCATCTTGGGCATGACAGCGAGTATACTTACTTAACTCTACTTTGGGAGGAGGTGGGCCTCCGGACAGTGGCTATGGTGACCAGGGATGACCCGTCTGCCGTTCGAAGGCTTGGTGAGTGACCGCAATTTCTAGTATGACTTGTCCACTTAGAGTTTAGCATACCATCTTTGAATAAAAAACAGTGTCGCCTATGACGACTAAGGAATCAGTGGGGTAGTTATCAAGGTGTACTATCGTATGAAACGGTAAACTACTGGGCACTTTTTCAAAACACAGGGGAGTGATATGACTATCCTCTCCGTTGATATTCGCTGCGGAAATGACCCACTCATGTCGCTGCCGTCCTGGCCCGATGCTGGGGGGTACAAGCCGGTAAGGTGTGCGGTAGATAGCATCTCTATTATCACTAGCAAATCATAAAGGCGTCTGATGGCATTATGTTCGTCAGCTCTGTTGAATAATTCCGAGCGTGACTTTCCATGGTCCAGCGCGGGGTTGGTTATTTGGCCCTTGAGTGTTCGTTAACGGCATGCGAGGCGGGCATTGGATGACGTCGCCGAACTCATCGGTCCACCGAATCCGAGGGAATTATTTAATTTAATTTAATTTATTAAAGGCCAGTTTGCAGGCATTGTCAAGAAAAGCGATTAAACACAAATCCGACCAGCAGTAAAAAAACTCCTGAAGAATAAAAATATAGTTGATGATGGTTTTTATGGTTTGGGGGGTTTAGGAGAAAAAAAACTGCTGCGGTAGATTTGCGACCGTCAAGAATGGGGGGGAGGGGGTTGCACGGTATCGGAGATCATCGGACGTCAATTACTCTCA